CCCCCCCCCCCCCCCCCCCCCCCCCACCCGAAAATCCATCGACTTCTTGCTTCTGCCGAGCGCGTGCGTGCCGGGGTGCTCGATTTTTGTGCATGGTCGATATGACTCTCGCACTTCTTCAAAGCACCCGCGTGGACACGGGTACTCGCCTACCACGCCAAGTCTACCAGACAAAGAAACGACAACGAACCCAGGTTGTTCGGGAGTGGCACGAAAAGCACGAAGGCGCTCGCTTCATCCCACGGCGACCTTCATCTCACAAAGAGTCTCCCCCCATCTTTTACGAAGTACGAGGAGTTTCACGTCGGTAGAGGGGGCGAAGGAGACAGCGCCGAGACCCCAAAAGGCTGGTGGGCCCTTCTGCAAAGTTCGTTCGCTCTCCCTGTGGCGAGCGTCTTCGCACCGGAGACGGCCAATACCTACATTTTGTTTTTTTCCTAACCAAGGTTGACGTCTTTCAATTGGTGAGCCGGTACCCGGCACCGATGCTCAGTTCATAGAAGGGTGCGAAAAGACACTCACTGGGGCGTCAAGGGATTTCCCTCTTGACTAGGATCTTCATCAGTTTTACTTCTCGCTACAAAGACAACCTGTTTCCGCTTGACACGGAAGGCAACCGCGGTGGGCGGGATAGCACGACAATCACCGATGGCAAGCACAAGCACGCATCCTCACGCACCTTGACGTCCGCCAACATGCGCTCTCGGTCCTGCGAGGAACACCACTCCGTTAGCGCCCTACGGCTCTGTTCCACCCCCTTCGGCCATGCCTGACCCCTGCTCCGCCCCAAAACGCACGCAACGAGAGAGAGGAAGTGATGCGAGAGGTGGTGAGGAGGTAAGAAGCGAGACGATTCAGCTTGAAACACTTGGCATTGGCCCATCATACCCCGCGCAACACCTCTGAAGACAATGCGGCTGCCGCGAGTCTAGGATATGTGTTGAGAAACCAACAACCGAGGGGGTGTCGGGACAAACCGAACGATCCGTACAAGCAGAGTGTACAACCCCGGTGGTCTTGCCGGCTACAGCGATACTGTACCCCCCTAGCGGCTAGGCTGGGAGTGAGCAACGCGAGTGAGGGGTGTTGTTCCGTGTCGTACCCACTTCCTGCTTGGACGCAACTGGTCGAGCGCGTTCCCTCTCGTGAGAAAACTTGAGGGAAGGAACTATCCTGCTGAGCCGTTCTCGCAAAGTACAGTAAAACTCACAAAAATGGGAAACATTTCCCGCACACTGTTGGGGCGTCTTGCGTATCAACCCGGATCGGACCTCTTAACCTGAGAGCGTACGGTCGTGTGGTTCCAAGAAAAGCGCTATGCACAGCGAAATGTAGAAACACGAACAATGCGGAGTACAGATAGCGCCCGACCTAAAGGACCTTTAGTGTTAGCCGAGGCTGGGGGTGCCGTTTCTTAAGTAATCTCGTGGGTTACACCGGGTGGCTAGTATTAGAGGTCGTAGTATGGGTGTAAGTTTTTTTAACCCGTCTCAGCTCAAGTTCTTAGACTTCGAGCTTTTCGAGGCTACATTTATTTCTTAGCTGCCAAGTTTTCAAGTAAAGTGCGGCGCTATCTGCAGTTCGGATGGCAAACAAAACCAAAACAACTTTACAATACCCCGCTAAAACACTGCGTGCTGTCCTCTCACGTTGCCGTCTCTCACCTATAGATATCCGGCACAAGCGTGCTATACCCCTGCTGGGCCAAGAGCCTGGCCGCCCCCGTAGTCTCCGGAGTGTCGAACCCGAACACATCCGGCAGCAAAACCACGGCGCTGAACGAGGCAGGCAGGGAGGAAGGAAAACGGCAACAGCGACAACGACGGCACGGGTCACGGACGATGGCGTTGGCGTCAGAATTAAGCATTGAGTGCAACAAAAGCAAGGAAAAAGGTCGGCCTTAATAACAGGCGGCGCCGAGTACGGCGCGAGTCATAGACGACGCTGGCATTGGGGTGAGAACAGAGAGAGCACTGAATGCAGGCAAACAAGGCAGCTTGAACAACACGGATAAGCACGATTGCGGAGTGATTCCGGACTAGAAAAACCACATCCTCGTTAGAGGAGAGAGGTGGAAAGACACCGCCAGATGGGGAGCAAGCATGATCGACTGCTCGGGTAAAAAAATCTCAACGGTTGCACGCCGACGAAAGGAACCTGCCGACTGTGCGGGCCAATTTCCCACGCGATGCAAACTACGACGACAAAAAAACGTCGAATTATAGGTGATAGGTGACATCGTGCGATTCGTTGTTGCCGTGGGTTCTGTAATTGTTGGCTCGATCAAGCGGTGCACGTGTTTCTTTTCATGATGTAAGCACTGCTATCGAGCGGTAGAGGCAATCCGCGGGCGGCATGAATCTATCGCCAAGGAGCGAGGCCTAATGCGAAAGAGACAGAGAGCGGTAAAATCCTCGTAACCGCCTGGTCTTTCGCATGCGCATGGGACGTGTAGGGCGGGGGAGTTCACGAGGCTGGTGGAGGAAGAATAATCGAGAGAGAGCATCAAAGTGACCCTAGCTCGGTAACTCAACGACAACAGCAACACGATGTTGCCGGGACAGGGCGCGTGGGACAGATCGGGTTAGGGCATCATACTACCGGGATCTGGCGGAGGAGGGTGTATGCCCTCAGCAACAACCACGACGGCACACCGAAAGAGGCGGAGAGATGGCACCTACCCTAGACCGATGTTGAAAGCTGGATTTTCTCCTAAAACAAGATTTTTCTTCAAAGCTCGATTTCTCCAAAAACAAGCTTGAGCCAACACCAACAACGGTGGTTAGAAATATCTTGGAGGCCTTTCCGCACACGTATCATAGCGCTTTTCGAGCCCCCTTGGTTGAGGAACAATCGAGCTTTGAAAGTCGGTCTACACGTGGTGCCATCTTATCCGCTTCTTACGGTACAATCGGCGGTCCTCTATACATGGGTAGTTGTACCCTAAATGGCGGAATGGCCTGAATGACGGCACCGAAACCCCTCTAACATCGACTCTCACTGATGGGGGTCAACTTGGGGGACAAATCCCCGCCACACGCTTGCAAGGCACTTGCGTGGCACTCGGTCTTGCAACAGGCCAAAAGACGGGGGGTTGTAACGGTGACAACATTGCTACCTCTACGCTTGCCACTTGCTGCAAGCTATCCTGTCTCATGTCTCTGCGGTTGCGCAAGATTTGTCGGCCATGGTATTGCCGAACAAAGTGATCGCCATGACGAGAGGTCCTGCGGCGCTTGCAAAAACCTCGACGTTTGTCATTTGCCGTAAGGGTATGCCGCTGTGTGTCTCCATATCTGCACAAGTTTTTCGGCGGTAGTCATGCCGAACTGTTATTCATGTAACTCACCATGACGACAGGTCTTGAGGCGCTTGCAAAGACGGCAAAGCCGCCACCACCGGTTTGGGTTTCACCAGAATCCCCCGCGTGGCTCCCAGCGAAATCTCCTGCACGAAGATGGAAACTAAATCAGCCATGAGTGCACATCTTACACAACTTACACATACGCGAGTCGACGCCCACGCATGTTTCATAGCATGAAGAAGAATTACGACCATTGTTGTAGCTTGTACGTTAATACCAAGCAAACGCAGAGGGTAACCGACCGGCAACGCTCCAACCTCTCGCAAGCATCTCCAACCTCTCGCAAGCACCCACGTAGATGCTACGGAGGGGAGCGTCTGCTGACGTAGGCTCAGCAGCGGTAGCTGCAGCTGGTGCAGTCCAGTGCTGCGAAAGGTCACCAGCAGCAGCTGCAGCACGTCGAGGGGGCAGCTGCTGGGACCCTCGGAGTTTGGGTTCTCTCCCCGCGGTGCTCCGCGTTGTACATGGAGCGATCGGCACTGGCCACCTGGAACAGCAACTAACGCCACGGTCTTGCACGTGAACCGTCATGTACCCATGGCGTTAGCTGTTCCAGGTTGTACCCAGTTCCGATCGCGCCTTGTGCAACGCGAAGCGGAGAGAGCCAAAGCGGCTCAGCAGCTGCCCCCTCGACGTCCTGCTGCGGGCGACTTTCAGGGGTCCTCTTGTTGCTTCAACCAAGCCTGACTCGACATACGTTTAATGGAGTATGTACGTACAAGCGGTAGGTTACATTCGTTGGGTTTTGCCGCAGCTTCTGTACGTTGGTACTACACCAGCAAAACGGATAGTATGGGGATCTACATGTAGCTCGTCCCGCACTTCGAAACCAACAGGACCGACCGCACGTCCGGCGATTTTGGTGGTCTGCGACATACGTGTCTACCATATGAATTGGTCTACAGGCATAGCCGCAGACGATGCAGCCTTGCTTTCGTCGTTGGTTGTGGTGGCGGATGAACTTCGTTTTACTGTCGGCTTCACGGCACGTCAGGTGGTTCAATTGTGGGGTGAGCACTACAAAATGTCGCTGGTACTGGCGGTGTCGTTGAAAGCTACAGAGTACACAGCTGTGCGACGCTACCATGTGCATCGCACGTTGACGGCAAGTGTTCAACGGGAAGCTGGTCGGTGCGCGGGAGGCGGCACCGTTCTGTTAATTCATATGATACAGCCCCCGACAGACATGTGTAAATGGGGATACCGAGTCACGATTATCAAGCAGCAGTATCTACGAATGGGTGTGTTGGGGCAGGGGCAGTGACGCTGCTTGTTGCCGTACAGCACTATGTTCAACCGCTGTCTGCTGCTGGTGTGCGTGTGCAGCTGTTTCAAACATATGGCGGGTATGACGGAAGGAGAGCGGCACAAGCTCGTCAGAGCGCGACAAGACAATCACACAAGGGTAGTTGGTGTGGACCCCAACAACAGACAGGAATACCTGGCAGCAACGAAGAACTACCAGCGTGTTTGAGCAGCACCTTCCCCTGCACCAACAGGGGCAACTACCGCGGTACGACGGTTGGATTGCATCGAGCAGGCAGCCACGACGCCAGCGGAACGCACGCTGTTGATCGGCGGATATTACAAGAGATACAAAGACGGTCAAATTAGACCCATGGGACACGCAACCTACTGCGGCGCTCAAGCTGCAGGGACGCCAGGTGATCAACATCTCGACGTCTTGGTGTCTTGAAGGGAAGCAGCTGCCCGACGGCCTGCTGTAAAACTAAACGGGGCGTTCACCGAGTAATGCTGTGCAAGAACTTTGGACCCCTTCCTGGGTCCACCGACTGCTCCAACTACTTGCCCTCACCTCGACCTCGCAGGGTCGGCCGCTTCCTACGCCCGCCATGTCGCCAACGTGAGGTGGACCCCGCAAACCAACTCACAACTTAATTTTGAAAGAAGGAGACTGCAGACACGCCACCACGCAGCAGAGAACCCACGAGCCAGCAGCGAGAGGCTCAGGGCCCATAGGTAGGGCTAGGCGGGGACGTATTATATAAATTTTCGCGCGAAGCGCGAAAAAAAATGAAGAGGCGTTTTCCCGGTCGGGCTGTTTTTTGGCTGTTTTTTTCCACTCCCCCCGATCCACTGTTTTGGGCATATGTCCTTGAAATGTGAGCCGATTTCGAAACGGCTTCTNTAAAAACACACACATATTTTCCCGCCGGCTAATCGGAGGCGGCGCACCACGGAATGGAACATGACCACCGCGGCACGGACAGCCCTGGCGACCGCCCTTGACAAGCGACGGGCTGCGCGACATTCCTTCAAGGCCGGACCGAACGCAGCAACGTGGAGGATCCTCAAAGCAACGTGCAAGGGGGTGAAGGCAACAATCGCAACGAGCATCTACGACCACCTGGAAAGATACGTGACGGAGCTCGAAG